TATTAACTATGAACAAAGCCACAATGTGCTAACCGTATTCGGAAATTAAAAACATCCCTACCACACACTAATACATACACAGAACGCACACACTCAATTAAGCTGAAAAATCGAATCATCCTTGATAATGGCTAAAGGTATAGCCGAAAGCGCTCAGAAATATAAAACATTTGGACAGTTCTTACACACCCTTTGTCCAGAAAAGAAAGCTCTTGTCAGAACACAAGAAAAATTAAATAAAGAGCTTAACCGTAGCACCTTTTCTGTCATTTTTAATGAAACATGCATATATATATATATATATATATATATATATATATATATAAATATATATATATAATAAAAATTTATATAAATATAAATTCAAACGTTCATAACATTAATTTAAAAGAGAGCTCAATACCAAGTGTAGAGCAATAGTTATTAATTATAAGTTGTTAAATATGGATAAAAAAACTTAATGACAAAGGTGCATATTTATATATATATATATATATATATATATCATCAGATGAATATATAAAGATATATTATAAATTTTTTTTTTAAAATATTACTTATGAAACATCACTTTTTTTAACATTATTCAAAAATGTTTTTTTTTTCATAAAAAAAAACACCATAAAAAAAATGGAAGAAATATAAATATAAAAAAATAAACAGCCTTTTGACCATTGAAACTGTGTTATCTCCCTGGTTGACATATGACAAGGGAAGAGCATTTCACATTTGATTTCACACATTGTATGTAGAAAATTTAATTTTTGCATGATGTAATTTCATTTATATATATCTGTGATACATTCTCTACTACTATTCAATCTACAATTACACTTTGTTTATACATCTTTTTTTTTATTTTTATAATGTAATAGTGCAAACATCACTTTTATTTTATTTTAAAAAAAAGAAGTAATTTATATTGTTAAAATTTTTATGAAATCAATAAGTTAATTTGAGTATGCAAAAATTGAATTTTTTTATCAATTTTTTCGAATATTTTAAATAAATATATATATATAATTCAAAATGTTATATAACAAATATATAATTATTCTTAGTATAAATTTTTTATTTATATATATATATAACTTTGAATATTTGATTGATCTGACATTTTTCAAAATTATTTTTATTTGTAAAAATGTATTTATTTATTTGTCAAGCGATACATGTCCTCATCAAATCTTTTCAATTAAAAAATTCTTTTCTCTTGCACATAATATTTATAAAGTTGATATTGATCAATTTAATGCTTGTTTTTTAGTTCAGTCAAATTTCTTGTTGGAAGACAGAATGGAACAATGTTGAAATAAAACAAATGCACTGTACTGCATTTACCTGGATCAAAAAAGTCCATCTAATAATGACTTGATAACAATTTTCAAACTTAGATCAGCTTGACATTTGTAGTCCCCTCAAGTTGGCACTGATCAGTCTGTATTGGTAGAAACACTATAAGTTAATTACAAAAACAGATGTTTATTTAAAAATATCTGAATTTTAAAGCAATCTATATATTTTTATTGTCTGTTAAAATGCCATCAGTGGAGATTCATGTTTTGTTTTTTGTTTTTTTGAAGAAATGATGATTACCAATATTAAAATTCTTCTCTTTATAGTTAATTATATCATAGAAGAAGACAGGTATTGAAAAAAAAATGATTGGTTTCAAAAATATTTTTTATTTTAACTCAGCTCTGGTTATCTGGATTTATAATACCTTAGGATCCAAATTATTAAAGTTATAAAAAACATTTGGGATTGCCATTATTCTCTATTCTATGTGTGGTGTTTTTGATACACATTCATATTTGATAATTTCTTTAAATTTATGATTTTTGAAGAAATTTTATGTTTATTTTTTTATTTATTTATTGTATATAATTCAATAATTTTTTGTAGACATACATTTCAATATTTTAAAAGGTAAAAGCTAAAAAATTTGGACAGAACATCCAAGTTTTACAAAATGCGTATAATCCTTTATATGTTCATTATTTAATTTGATATTATTATGTATAATCTTCATGAATAATAAGAAATAAAATAAAATAAACAGACAAATTTTTACTGGAACAAAATCTTACTAAAAGATAGATTTGTTGAATATTCTTTCTGTTAATATATCTTATAATTAAAATTTTTTTATTCAATGTACATAAAATGCGTATACAATATTACACTTGGCATACAATCTATATATCATTCAATAATAAAATAGACACAATATTTATTAATTCAAATTTTATTTTTTTAATATTCATATCAAGCATCAAAAAATTTTTTAATTTGACATTAATAAATTTAGCACTTTAATCAGTCATTAATATAGTTATACTTATTCAAACTTCTGAAATATTTAGAATTTTGATAATTAATAAAAGAAATATTTTTTTATATGGAAGGAAAATCCTAAAGTGGAACTTTTGGTGACACTGTTGTTATCAAAAAAAAGACATTGTATTTAATGATGCAAGTTGGACATGGAGGTTGGTATTCTGATATGCAAATATGGTTTTTGTTTTCTACTTTTCATTTTTTTCAAGGAAAACAAACTGGTTTATATTTGAATACTTCAATAGTAGTAAATAGAAATGGATTTCAGATAAAATGAACAGTTGATTTAAATATGCCAAAGAAAAATTATTAGCAGACAATAATGACAAAAATAAGCACACAGGTAATTTTAAAAAACATGATAAAAAATTTATTTAAAATTTACACAATTGAAGTTGTCAAATAGCTCATTTCAAAAAATAAATCATATTTTATATAAAGTTCATAGTTTTAACATATTGTCATGAAGAGAAAATGTTCTTACAACAGATTAAATGATCTGACACAAAATAATATTCAAAAATGTTTAAGACAAAAATCCAAGAGAATCTTCATTGTTTGGTGATAAAATATATGGTTTGCATAAATTTGTCTAAAGATGAAGAGAGATAATTATTTATTTTGAGCTTCAAAATTATATCTTCAAAAGTCGCATGATGTACAAAATATATACATTATTAGAAATATTAATCAAAATTTTCTTAAAAATCATTAGAAAAAAAAGTACTGCTAGCATTTTCATATTTATCCTTTTTTTTATTGAGAGTATTAGATTATATGTAAATTTGTCAATCACAAATTCCTCTTCTATTTACTTTTCTGTATAAATTAATTGATTGTTTTTTATGGTTTATCAACATTTTTCAAATTATTTAAAGTTTGAAAAATTTTTTTAGATTTTAAGAATTTTTGTAAGTAATAATGATTTACTGATATTTTCCTACTGTTTAACCATATATATATATATATTTTTTATATATTATATACTTTTCTCAACAGTATTTGTATATCAGAGAATATAATGAACCCAGATAGAATTGGTGTTTTATCTTTCCATTCCCCCACCCGTTTAATTTAAAGCAATCAAAACTTGGTATTCCCAAGCAAGTTAGCCATCTAGGTAGTGATATATTGATGTTATATTTAAATTAAGTGATCATATGGGAATAATTTGTAAGACATTTTTTATATGGATTTTCATTTTTAGACATCAAATGACTGTGAGTCAAAATAAAAAAAAAAAAAATAATGGGGTTAAATTTGTCAAATTCTCCTAGTGAACATTTTTTTTTATATATATATATATATATATATATATATATAATTATGAAAACAGAGACTTTACAAATCAATGGTAATATTTTATTTCACAAAACTAATTTCTCAGTTTCATTTCATCCGACCAAACACTTTCAACAATAAATGAATTTAAAAAAATTAATCTAGGGAACAAGAAAAAAGAGAATAAGATAAATAGGAAGAATATATATATATATATATATATATATATATATGAACAATATATATATAAAACAAACATAAATATTAATATATAATTATGCTGTAATAATGTTAATATAAAGTCAATGTTTCGGACGTTTTCGGTCTATTTTAAGATTTTTTTTGTTTTTCTGTATATTCTTCACAATCTGTCGGATTTATATCCATATATTTGATTACATACTGTTGAATACTGAAATACAAACCTTTTATTACATTATAACATTTTAAGACTTCAAGCTTGATTCATAAAAATATAAGATCTATTGATCTCAGCCTATTCCTGTAAGTAAGGAAAGGATTTATTAACGAACTGTTTAAAAATTGTTTCATCGTGCCTGTCTAATATTTTGAAATCATTTTTGATTTACTTTGTAACATGGAAGACTTCAAGTTTGTATGGAAATATAAGAACCTATTGATCTCTGCGTATTCCTATATCAACGGAAGGGATTTCTTGACGAACTGTTTATATGAGAAAATAGTTCAATCGAATTTGTTTAATATTTTAATATTTTGAAATCATCTTCAAATACGTTTTCACAACATCGCCCACATGACGACGACGTGATCATATTTTAAACGGAACGCTGATCTTATATAAAAATTTCAGTTATCTGTTTGGATTAGTTGTGCTCTTATGTCCATTGTCTTTTCATGCTGAATTTTATATGTTCTAATGTTAATTATGTTTTATGAATATGTCCTGATGATGGTCTAAAATAGACCGAAACGTCTGACGTTGACTTTATATTAACATTAATACAGCATAATTACATATTAAGATTTTTGTTTGTTTTTTCTGTATATTTTTCTTCATACTGTCGGATCTATATCCATATATTTGCTTACATATATATATATATATATATATATATATATATATATATAGTAAAGGTAACAGATCTGTTGGTATATAATCCAAGTGAATTCTAGTAATATAGAATATTAAAACTAATCCACAAAACAAGACAGATGACCAATATCTTCATCTGTCAAAATAGGCTATTCCCCATATGAGGTGATTTTCGATTTTATTATTTATTGAAAATATATATATTTCAAGAATTATAATTGAATTATATGAATGTTTTGTTGTTTTAGCTGCTGAAAAGATTTTGTATACAATACGTGAACCTTATTATTTATTCATTATTTTCATGTTTTTTTTTCAGTATCTAGGTAAAAAAGGAAAGGTTAAAGAAATTGATTCTGACGGAGATGTGAAAATTAAATTTAAGACTGGCAGTTATACCTATAACCCAAATGTTGTTGCAAAGGTAAAAGTTATGAAATTTATTATTTTATATTTGCTAATGTATACATATTTTTTTTTTAAGCATTTCACCCCAAGCAAGGCAGGAGTACCACTAGCACCCATGGGGGTTGCAGAGGGTAGAGAACAAGAGTAAAGAGGTATTTTTGGGGAGAGGATAAAGAGAAGGACAAGGAATAAGATCAAGGTATCAGATGTCGATTGACATTACACTTGAATATTTGAAGATTATAGTTATCAGGGAAGCAAGTAAGAGGAAGAGAATTCCACAGAGGGGAAGCGCAGGAGAAAAAGCTGTTTGAGTAGAAGAGATGGTTATATTTAACTGTTTTGACAGTGAAAGGGTAGGACCAAGATGCCAACCTAGTAGCTCACTTAAATTTATGCAGTCTAGGAATCAAGGAAAGCAACTCGTCAGAACAGTTGCCATGAAAATATTCATAGAAGAGTCAGAGAAAGTGACTGTAGACAAGATGCCAGATCAGAACCTATCATATTGCATATCCATCTCTGGATCTTGTCAAGGACCTCTAGAATTACAGTGGGGAAACCAGACCATATATGATAGCAATATTCCATGCAAGGATGGATGGTTGATTTACAGATTTGAAGGATGAATTCAGACGAGAAAAAATTTCTGGCATGACACAGTGAACCAAGTTTCCTTGCAATAGATGAAGCTATTGAGTCTATGTATTTGATCCACCTCATATCAGTGGACAGTATGAGGCCAAGCAAGATGAGCATCAGCCATTCTGATGAGAGGCAGGGAGGGTTCTCTGTGGTAGATAAATGAGAGCAGTTTCTTTTTGGAGGCATTGAAGTTTACAAGACATTTCCTTCCCAAGTCAACCACAGATTAGAGGTCCTTTCTGAGACCGGCAACCAGGTTAGTTTTGTCAATGATACCAGATTTACTGTTGAGGTATGAGTAAACAGTAGTGTGATGAAAATTCAAATATATTTTGAAAAGAAAATCCAAGATATTAATATAACTGTGTTCATACATACTTAATTTTGGTGTAGTATAGACCTCATGTAGCGATGAACCACAGTTATCAACAATGCCCTGTGCAGGCTGGTGATGGTTTCATAATGGCACATAGTGTGTTCACATGGCATGGATTGGGTCATTGTAATAGACGTGACAGTGACTTACCAGGAGCAAAGCGAATTCGCTGCCTCACGTGTCAGACCATTCTCTGAGAGTCGGTCGCGCGTGCGTACACCTGCTGCCATTTTTATGCATCAGGCTTATTTGCATAAGAGAACAACATTACCTGTTAAAAACCAGGCAAGTGGACTTGGGGGACCACTGTTCTTTTAGGCTTTGGTGAGACTAGACGTATTGCTGAAAGAAAGCGACATCAATTTCTGGACACCTGACAGTCATGAATAAGTGATAGCGATATTGTACAGCTTCATGACCATTTGTAATTATGGAATCCATGTACCTCCACAATCATAAATTATTCCAGCAAGATAATGGTAATGGTAATATTAACTGTTTCCTAAGATGGAAACTTTTGGCAGCCAATGCTATTGCTGGTTGAAATTTATAAAATCTATCTATTAACTCTTTAGTATTCAACATGCTCAAAACCACCCCATAATTATCAGCTCTTAAATTCTCTCTGTTTGTGATTATAGTTTCACTGCTTATGGCATTTCCTACATTATTTGCGATGATATCATCATATATAATGGCAGAGTATACGTGGGGCGGGTTACAGTGGGTTGAACATTGAGAACCAATATTTACAGGGCAGTTTGAGGCGTTTTGAATGCTAAAACAATTTTTCAAGAAACTATATCTCTCAAGTTCATTGTTAATGCTCTTTTCAGTATTGATGGGAGCTTCCATCCTAACCTTTTGTTCAAAGTAGTGTGGAATATCAACATGTCATTATTTTCTTATTTTATTACGTCATTATTTTCTCTATGAGTTTTCATTATAAACTTGGTATTTTTGCATATTGATGCTTGAAATTCTTAGAATCTGGTCAACTTAAACATATTCTATGAGCAATGTTCCTGCAGGATATTGACAATCATGACTCACCACAATTTCCTGTCCTTTGTAGCTTTTAATAAGTTTTATCTTTTAGTTATATCTTCTAAACCTTGTTCTGACATCCATTTACTCTTGCTGAGTAGGTTATGTATTGTTTTCCTCTATCCCTCTTGTCTTCAATCATTCCTGTGAGTATCAAATTTTCCAAGTCCTCTTTCCTCATTATATACCCCCACTTTCTCTAAAAAGCCATTGTTCACATGTTCAGTCCATGGTATTCTTGGCATCCTTCTGTAGAAACACATTTCTGTTGCTGCATGTCTCTTCTTCATCTGTGAGGAGATTTTTCAGCACTCACAGCTATAAGGAAGGACTCATATTACATAGCAGTTCATATATCTTACCTAAACACTCCACTTTCCTTCAGATACATAGATCATGTTTTATTAATATATCCCAAAAGAAAAAACATGCAAAACATTATAAAAATCTTAATTTTTGTTTGAATTCCTGGGAGGAAAAATTATCATTATTTACAATCAGACTGTTGTCATGATCTGTGCTGTTATCACAATGTTTCAGCTGTTGTGAGCTCTGGCCTTAATCAGATGCTTGTTGATCTGGGTAACCTTCAGGGTTCAGTTCAAAATTTTGGAGCATCATAATATTTTAAAGAAAAGGTTTAACACACATATTTGACAATGACTTTGTTCATTACTGCAGTTTAGAGTTAGAAGTGAATGTAAAGAATGAGGATTAGTTTTCAAAAGCAAAACTAGGGATATATGTAAAGAGAAAGAGCTTCTAGAAATTGTCTCTTCCTTTCTTTTTAATAGAATTTACAAATTGAAAACATGTGCCTTTAAAAATTCCCAATGATGTCTTAATTTTTCTTAATATCAATTTTAAAATTTTATTTTTTCAGGTACTATCAAAAGGAGATATTGTACAAATATCAAGTGATATTGAAAAGGCAAAATTTTTACAGAATAAACATGGAGGATGGAATTCAAGAATGGAGTCGGTAGGTATTTTATTTAGTAGGTTTTTGAAGTAAAGCTTATTCAGGTTTGATAGTCTTTGAAAATTAACAAGATCAATTAAAATATGAGAACCTAGAACCAACTAATTATATTAAATGTAAGCTAAATATTAAACAGGGAAACAGATTTAATTCGAACTGTGTTTAACAAACTGTAAGTCATTTACATGTTAATCTATCTCTTCTCCCCACAACTATGAGTCAAAAGCATGAAAGACTGGGTCAAAGGCTTGGGTGGCAACCAGTCTAAGAGAAGATCAACACTAAATTCAAAACCTGAGGGTCTAGTGTATGAACTGAGAGTAACCTACATATTTCATGATCTTCAGCTGTTGGTTAAGAGGTGTTGGCAAGGAGATGGGCAATGGCAAGCTATCTGAAAACCCATCAAATGGATCATGAGGAAGAAGAATCAGTTTGTTTCTTTTGCCCTCAGGTCACGTGTCATCGTGGCATATTCCTGTGCCTGATAGTGTCAGAATTGATATCATCAAAAGGGGCAGCGAGCCATTCCAGAATAAGCAGAGACCTTTCAAGTCGGTCAAAAAGCCAGGTGCAAAGGTTAAAGGTGAATTGTGGCAACTCTCTGCAGCTTGGTTTTATTATTCATTGTCAAATGGCGACAGGGTGCTATGCTTGTGGATGGCATACTTGCTGCGTGATGGAAAATTGTACTGCTTTTGTTGTTGGTTGTTTGCCAAAGATGACAAAGCTACTGGAACATCTACTTTCGTCACTGGTTTCGAAGCCTGGATGAAGCTAAATCCAAAAAGTATCATCTGTCATGCTTGGAGAAGTGGAACACTGGCTTCAGGACTGCAGATGCAAACAACCATCGATGCAGCACACATTTCCCTGATGGAGAAAGAGAAAAAGAAGTTCAGAGACATTCTGCACAGAGATTTAGATGTGATACTTTTCCTTGCGCGACAGAACCTGCCATTTAGGGCACATCGTGAGGATGCATCATCATTAAACAAAGGTAACTTCTTGGAGCTTGTTGAATTGTTATCTCACTATGATGTAGTATTAAAAGAACATCTTGTCAGACTCCAGCAAAGCACAGACAGTCAGGTAGTATGTTCATACATGTCACCTGAAATTCAGAACGAGTTCATTTCTCTCTTGGCAAGATACGTGAATGGAAAACTCGTTTCTGACATCAAAAGTGCAAAATAATTTGGCATACTTTTTGATAGCACACCGGACATTTCGCATGCAGATCAAATGTCAACAGTAATTCAATATGTACACATTAGCGGTGGTACAGTTGAAGTGTGGGAGTCATTCCTTGGATTTTTTCATCTGAAAGGTAAAACAGCTACTGCATTAACTAGTGATATCCTAGAGAAACTAGAAAATGAAGGACTGGATATTCAATTGTGTCGTGGTCAAGGGTACGATAATGCGGCAAGCATGTCTGGAATCCACGGCGGTGTTCAAAAAAAGATCAAAGACATTAATCCAAGGGCCGTTTTTGTACCTTGTTCCAATCATTCTTTGAACCTTTGTGGGAAACATTCGTTTGCTAACAATCAAACTTGTGTGACATTTTTTGGATGTCTTGAGGTGCTGCACACTTTTTTTTGCTCTGTCAACCCATCGCTGGGATGTTCTAGTGGAATACACAGGTCTAACAGTGAAGAGACTGTCTACAACTCGCTGGAGTGCACATGCTGATGCTGTGAAGCCAGTGATACAGAAGTTTAACCTGTTTGTGGAAGCCATTGAAGACCTATGTGGTGTGGAAGAAAGCAACAAGACAAGACGCGCTGCGCGCAATCTGTTGCCAGCTATATGCAACTTTTCTTTCATTTCTTTCTTGTTTTTCTGGGGTGATGTTTTACAAGAAGTCAACTTAGACCAGAAGTACATGCAAACACCAGGTATTTCTCTGGACATGGTTGCTACCAAAGTAAGGGCTCTCAAAGTCTTTTTGGAAGAGCAGCGTACAAATGTTGTTGACAGTGCCATCCTGCCAAATGTGAAGAACTTGATATTCCTACAGAGAAGAGAATCAGAAGAAAGAGAATGCCTGGATTGTCATTGCAGCAAGAGACTAAGAGAGCAATGTTAGAGTGTCTGGACCATTTCCATATTGAGTTGGATACCAGAGGAAAGGCAGTGAATGACATTTTGCTGACATTTTGTGCTATTCAGTCAGACCATATTATTTGTGCCAAAGATGAAGAAATACAATTGTCTGTTGCCAAGCTCACTGCTGTGTATGATGAGCTGTCTTAAGAAGAACTTTGTTTAGAAATTCCACGTTTAAGGCAACACCTACAAGCAGCCGAAATAAACTTGGAGGAAGCCAAGCACTGGACTGTACTGCAGTTCCTGCAGTTTATCATCAAGTGGGACTTTGTTGAGTCATTGCCATATCTTACGCTAACTCTAAGATTCTTTCTGACAATATGTATTTCTGTGGCATCATGTGAAAGAAGTTTCTCCAAAATGAAACTTATAAAAAAATTACCTCCAGTCAACCATGAGCCAGTTGAGACTGTCAGATCTGGCTGTGCTGTCCATTGAAAACAAGATTATGAGACAAACAGATTTTGACGATGTCATTGACCAGTTTGCCACAATGAAAACAAGAAAACATTCATTCTAAGACCATAGTATCGAATGTCATTCTTTTGTGTATTGCCGTGTTTTGTATTTAGTTGTTCTGAAAGTGAACAGTTGCATTTTAAAAATCTTTTAATTTGAACTGATTATTTTGTGGTATTGGATTTTGTCTTGGATCATACATGTAAACAGTAACGTACCGGTCAGTAGAGTAAAGTAGAGGTAGAGCATGTATGAAAATTTAGCTACAGCTAACCATTCAGCATAGGGTGAATCGAGGTCATTGGGTTGACATTTGAGCGGACTGCCCCGGGTGACGTTTACTCTAGCTATGCCACTGGGACAATTACTTCTAAGAATGTTAACAACTGGCAAGTATTTTAATTATCCCAGAAGTGTTTCTAAATTCCAGAAGCCAAGTAGGATTTAAAAAGCCTGACTGTGATCTTTCTGAGAAACCTCATTATGGGTGTCTAATTACATTCAATAACAATCTTTTCAAGATATCTGTTAGAACAACACTCCAAAGCCTCAGAGATTTAACAAAAGGCAAAAGGTTTCATGTTCAAATATCTCAAGTAAATTAGAAAAATAGAATGTAGACTTTATGAATTTAATCCCAATATTGGTAGCAAGGCCTCATCATTTTACAGTTGAAATGTCAAAATGTAACGATAAGTTCTATGCTAAGAGTTTCATCTCTCACACTTCTCAGTTGTGGAATTCTCTTCTGGCTTCTTGTTTCCCAGTCAAAAATTTAAGAGCAATGTCAATTGTTATCTTCTTTCTCTGACTTGACAATTTGGCTTCAATCAGTTTCCCAATGTTTCATAATGTAGCTTCCCTGTGCCTTTTCTATAAATAATTTCATGGTAAATGTTTTGATGAATTTTCCTCTTTGGTACTTAGACATTAGGAATTTAAGTTCAGTATTAGATTGGCAGCAAGGGCTCATCATTTTACAGTTGAGTCAGCTAGATGTAATCATAAGCTCTATGCTACCGGTTTCTTCTCTCACACTTTGTACTTGTGGAACTGTTACAGCTTCTTACTTCCCAGCCAACTTTGATCTTCAAAACTTTAAATGCAATGTCAATCTTTATCTTTTTCTTCTTCATTTCTGTTCTTTTATTTATCTTCTCTGCTTAATAGTATATTTTCTCATATTCTCTAATACTCAGTAACCCCTAGCATCTTGCTTGAAGTGAAAGCAAAGTAACAGATGAAAATTTAAATCCCTGTAACCCATCACCAGACAATCAAGGGAAATTTCCAACCATTTGCAAGTGACTGCTGGCCCTGCATGAAAACTCCCTTTTCTCCTTTGGATTCTTATAGCACATGAGAAATGGATGCTGTATATTAACAACAAATGTAAAAAGCCATGTTTAACCACCAATTTCAGTGATCCCATCACAAAAACCAGGACTTCATCTGCTATGACATTGGTTCAAAGAGGGTGTGCCTCTATTAGTTTTACTTCATCTACTAAAATGCTGTGCTTACTGTGGCAGCCATAATGTTTTAGCTGTTCAATTTCTGGTGTGCAAGTGCCACAAATGCAGTGATATACTGAGATCTGTTGAGGGGAAAAAAGGGACATCTCATATGGTTTGCATTAGTTGCAGTATTCTTATGATGTTATAAAGCCACAGAGAGGAAACTTTCTCAATGATCAACTAAACATCTATGATTAGCAGCAACTGAAACTATAGTTTTGCAAATTATGCCATTATACATTTCACACTGTCCATTGCCTTGAGGGTTGTAAGGAATTATTCTACTAATAAACACTCCTTGTTCAAGCAAGAACTGCTTAAGATGCTCAGACATAAAAGTGCTCCTGTGGTCTGTGTGGATGTATGTGGACAATCCAAAAATGTCAACAAGAGAATAGAGGCTGTGAATTACAGTGGTTTCTGTTATGTCTGCACAGGGAATGGTGACTGAAAAACAAGAATGTTCATCAATGATTGTTAGAATGTTAGTTGTTAATGGAATTAGGCCCTTAAAGTCTAAACTAAGTCTTTCAAAAGTTCAGGTGGCTTTATAGCTGCTTCAGTTTTAGGCTTGTAAATATTTGATAAGAGCTCACAACTCTTTTTATATCTTCAACAGAATAAGGTAGGTATCTGATTTAGATGATGTAAAGTATTCCTGTTATACTGATGCAGCACAGTTCCTTTTGCAAATTAAGGAAGTATTCCCTACGGGTTGATGAGCCACATACCCTTGAAAGTGCATTAACTGCTGCAATTTCTTTTCTGTGAGGGGGTGTATAGGTGACATCAAATGAAAAACAAGGAAGCTCCATTCTTCATGTCTCTATTTTCTTGTTTTTTTTATTTTGCTTGTTGTTTTAGGGTTGAACATAAACAAGACTGATTTCTGATTGGTGAAAAGCCTGAAATAGCATCCAATTAGATCATGTTGCCTCCTGTTATACTGTGCTGAAAATTAGATCTATTTCTGATTCACTCTACATGTCAGCCAGAAATGAGCACTAAGAAAAAAACCACAAATAAAAAAGTTGTCTTCTGCACAGGGGCTCTGAGAATCACATCCAGCCCACAAAACAAATACCGTAAAAATGTAGAATATAATATAAAAGAAGCCAATCATGAATGCTGCCACCAAAGAAAAAAGAACTTTTTGATCCACCAGATTTGCTTAAAAGAAAGCCTCTCATAAACAATTAGCACAGAATACAGCCGACAGGCCAGTTCTCAACACTGGCTGGCTCTCAACATTACCACTGTGATTTCAGACAACCGACCCAACACACATATCTACTCAAGATCCACCCATACAATGTCCACAGAGACATTCTTCTTGCAGCCTCTGTATCAGCAAAGTCAGAGGCTTCACTAATTTACTTCAGACCTCTCTTGTCATCATCATCATTACTGTAATGTCAACCATCTTATCACACTCTGAGACTTTTTTAACACCACTTATCCCCATCCACACACCACTGGCATCAATTTCAACCTTGAAGATAGACAGATCAACCCTGCCAATGACACCCCACTCTTGCTACCAACTACATACACCTTGTGAACTCATACTGATGAATCTGCACCAGATAAGACCTGTCCACATAATTATGAATACTGGCTTTGAGTATTACATATATGTTTGATCAATACATGCTCATTGAAAATTTAACCTTTTTTTTTTTCCTTTTGCAAACATATGCTGGATTAACACTGATTAACCACAAGAATGTTTTTGAGAAAAATGCTACCAGGTAGCAAGATTGTCTTAACAAGGTAATTATCACATTTAGATGCGTCCATCTCTACTATCAGGGAAGCAGAAAGGTCCACATCTAAAATGATATTTGGCAATGTCATTCTTCAGATGTTTGAGAGCTTTCATAGTAGAAAGGGGCAGCTTAAAGTTAGAAGCTTGTGTTAATGGGTGTACCTTCTCAGTGAATAAAGTTAAACTCCATCAAAAGACATATATATTTTCAGTTATTGGGAAATTAAGAAGTCATTTGAGCTCAGGTTTCATTGTGCCTTTATTTATGACATATCCCAGTAGGTTGATAGTATTTAGGTGAAAAAATGCTAATGGGTGAGCTATGAAAGAAAAGTATATTCTCATATTTACACTTTTTCAATTATGAGAATTATTATATCCATGATATATAACACCATATTTCACAGACGGAATGTAATAGCTGAATAAAAAGGAATGAAAAACATGCTTTGTTCTCAGAGAGAGTTTTATGCTGCTAAGTCATACACAAAATTATATATACATATTTACATGCCTCACATAGAAAAGCTATATCACATGTCTACAACAGCAAGCAGTATGAAAAATATGTCTTACTTGTAATATTTCCTATGGGGAAAACTGGAGGTACAGTGGTTTCTCTATGAACCTAGTGGGACTATGTGGTTTTCTGTGTAAGGCCTACTGCTGTGGGCTAGTGATGACTTTTCTCTCTGGGCTTTACATCACAACTTGTCCTGGTCACTGTATCCCCTGATGTCACTAACCAGCCATCAAGTGATTCATGAGACTTTATCTCAATGAGAGGGAGATAATCACTTTTTGTATCCCTACAACATTTTTCATTATTTAAAATTAAATTATACCTTCTGACCAGCAGCCATAAACTGTTTAAATTTTCTGTCATGTTTTGCCTGATCCATATGTTATTATTTGCTATTTAAATACAGTTGGAGCAAAGAAAAATTCTCTAGTAGGTCATCTTACAATACTTTTGTAGAAAAAATAAATGAGAGGGGTAAAAAAAAAAATCAAGTGTGGCATTTGCTGGCAGACTGACTCTTCTTCTTCACTTGCCTAAAGGAAATAGATTCCGAGGCTCTATTTGTTTGCTAGCACACTGGGCACTTTTCATTTGACAAAGTCAGTCGTGTCTCTTTGACCTTCTTTTTTTTCCTATCAATCCATTCGTTAGACTAGCAAATGTAATCAGCCCAAGAAAGAAAAAACGTCCCTTTCCTCACTCTTAGCATCTCGCTTTTTATATCTCCTCAAGCAGGCCAGAATTTGCATATGTGCAAATCCTGTCTCGTAGAGACAAGACAAGCACTCATAAATTGTGCCCCCAAGAGCAGCCATATTTTTTTTTCAGCACTATGCATGCAAGATACGTCCGTGCTTGTTTTGATCTCAGGGGTAAGTCATTTCTTTCATCACAACACATTACAACTACAACTTTACTTTGTGTTTAGCGACATATCAACACTTCTATGAGTTATTTAATGCCGAAATGTAAATATTTTTTACACAGCTTTATTTATTTTTTTGTTATTGGTGATAATAATTGCTTAAGTGAAACCAAGTGGAGAATAGGTGGATTCATATACTTCCCAAGGGTATTTGCATGTAAGTGAATATAATGAACCTAACTGGAATTGGAACTCAGCTCTCCAATTAACAATTCCGAACCATTGTCTATTAAGCCACTAGCACATCCAAGTGGTCACCCATCTAGGTAGTAACCAGGCTTGATGTTGCTTAACTTTGGTGATTGTGCAGGAACTGGTGTTTCAACATGATGGTTGCCATAAGTCCATAGATAGTCATCAGATTAACTGAAAAGTCAGGCAAACTATAAAGGACACAAATTGAAACAATTCAATATCTAATAAACAAAAGTGAGTAAGTGATGTTCATGAATTTTTTTTATACAAATTAGTATTTCAATTATTTTTAGCTTGGGATAAATTTGTGTATATTTTGAATAACCTGAGGTTATGAATTTAACCAATTTTAAAGAGTAATCTCTGTCTTTTGCATGATGAACAAGAGCGTAATTTGAGAAAAATAACATGTACATATAGTAGAGGCAAGAGTTATTGGTTGTTCGAGAAAGTTTGATGAGGCTATTGGGACATCGTAAATAGGTGAAGAATTTTAAACTTGAGACTGGCAAAAAAAATGGGAAGTTTCAAAGTCAAAGTACTTTAAGTAGAAAGACAGTTTTCAGTTGTTCCAATGACAGAACCTAGTAGCTTTGGAGTTATGTTGTGCAAGGTCTAAAACCCTTTTCTTGATGGATCACATGATTGAGAAAGTGTTAGACTTATATTTTCCAGTAAATGTTGTCATACATTTTCAAGATGTAGCCCATCATTAAAGGCATTTCTCAACAACTCTTTAGAATAATGTCTACCTTTGACAGCTGTGAATGTTCTGTCCTTACTTAATTTATAAAGGTCACAGGAAATCATCTATTGTCTCCAAAGGCTGCTGGCATCTTGTAGCAAGTAAATGTCTGGTGAATATCTTGTTTTCTTTTTTACATATATCTTTCCCAAGATGTCTAGTGCTTCCTCATAAGTCAATGCATCAAAACATATTTGCAGATATTAGCTGAGACATACTTGGTTAGGCAGCACAATTTTTTGGGTGCTTTGTTTCCACATTTGTTGATAATTTCTTGAATGTTTATGCTTTTCAATGTTGAGTGAATTTGAGTCTATGTTGAATTTGTCAGAGTGGAGAACACATGCAAAAATATCAAACTGAAGAGTTACATGAGGGGTGATAATTAGAATGGTCTTTTATTATCATACCCTCAGAATATAGTTACAAATATTTGAAAAGATAATAGAAACACTTGATTGTTTTAACATACAGACACATTGTTTTTTTTTAATTACATATAGATTTTGGGGAAAACTGCTCAAGTGCAACATGTTTTTAAAACTTATGATGTTTGCATAAGAATTAGTGGTGAAACCTGGTGCCTCAATCCTCTGCTGTGTACTGTTGTAGGAAAATCTTCAAGCAGTTCAAGTTCTGATGACGATGACTCAGGTCAGTTTGTCTTTCACCTTTTTTGTTTTGCCTTCTGCCAAATTGAAAACAAAATAATTATCACTCCAAATCAAGATTTATTTTAGACTTGAGACATTTTTGTAGAAATTTCATTTTAAACTTTAAAATTTTTCTGCTGCCATAAGTTGCTTATTTATTTTAGAAGAAAAGAAAAATGAAAAATACAAAAATTGAAAAGCAAGGTATTTTGAAAAAGAATCTACTGAATTGTAAAATGAAGCCTGAATCGATATGATTAATAATTATAGCAATATTCTAGAATCTAAAATCAATTCCTGAAAAGTAATAATTCAGTAAAGCATTAAAATTAACTTCAATCATTTTTTCATGTATATTTACAAGTAGAATCAATATTTGATGAATATATGATGTAATACATGAAAAATGATAATAGCTCATCTGTAAATTACTTTAAAACAGAGAACTATTTTGAAACAGAACAGATTTCTTCATAAAAATACAGCATTCAGCAAATCTTAATAACATATTAGCAAAAGAAGCATGAACTGAAAAAAATATTAATTTCAGGATTTAAAAAAATCACAGCAAAACACAATAAATATATACCATACATACTTGAGTATCATGTGAAATTTTATGATGATTTTTTGATGCAAAAAATAGGGGGTTGTACTATATGAATGTAATTTTTGGAAGAGATTAAAACTCATGTATTTTCAGTGACCAGTTGCATTAGACACAGTTAAATTTTTTCTGGAGAGGTTAAAATTTATGCAAAAAAATTCAGGGGTTGCACTATACATGAAAACCGCTTATACATGAGTATATATGGTAAATTTTTTCCTTGATAATCTTTTTACTATATCTTTAAAGGGATGAATTTTTATTGAGTTCTACTGTATTTATTTTTGTGTGTTTTATTAAAAAGCAAGTCTTGTTACTCATCCAGTGTCTATATAGAAAAAATGACATAAATGAACCAAAAACAACATTTCACCAAAGTTTACAAAATGTAAATTACAATATAATTTAATAAAGAGAAGCTTTTACATACTAAGTTTTAAATGGAATTAATGTGTTTTATTATTTTAGTAATTATATTTCTTATTAATGCTGAGAACAATTAAAGTGCCAGTATAGTTTACCTTGCTTTTTAAATCAATCTTATCATTTGTTTTGAAAAGATTTTATAGCAAGTTCTACAAATATACAGATTTTAATGGGTGTATTAAATTAACTATAATTTGTTGCGGGGCCAATAAGGATGTCACCCCCGCAAGCTTTACGAAGAAGAGTGTGAATAGCCAAGACAATGAGGGGACAAAGGCAAAGGTTTATGGAACAATAACATCGAATTTATTAATGCATTTAAATCAGTGTCGGGTCCGGTATGACTGGTTTATTGTTTAGAGTAGCTTTCGGTCATATAAAGTTGATCGGCGAACGTAGCAAAGACTGGGCCAAGACTGGGCCAAAACTGAACAGTGATAGACTTCACAGGGCAGATCGACCGTGGAAACGGGATCGCGCCAAAGTGTATCACTTGATAAAAGCCGGAGTCCCTAAACAGGGCCAGGACTGAACAGTGATAGACTTTTTTTTGGATCGACCATGAAAACAGGATCACGCCAAAGTGTATCACTTGGCAAAAATTATAAACAGGGCCAAGACTGAACAGTGATAGACTTCACAGGGCGGATCGACCCATCATCAAATGGGATCGCGCCAAAGTGTATCATTGGCCCCGAGAATCCCTAAACCGGGCAAAGACTGAACAGTGATAGACTTCACAGGGCGGATCGATTTTAAACAGGATCGCAAAAGTGTATCACTTTTCGAAGCAGGTCAGAAAGTGATATGTCTTCCAGGCGGATCGACCGTGGAGACAAGGATCACCCCAAGAGTAAACAACAATTTTCTTTTACTGGAAGCTCACAAAGGCAGCGTACTACACTTTGATCCAGGCCCCAAATTTTCAGCAGCTTGGATTTGACGGGAAAGTGGCTAACAATATTTGGAAAGATTAAGAGATATCATTTTCATATAAAACATTCATCCTTCGACATCATTTGAACCTGCATCCTATACGGAACCATCATTTAAGATTGACGTGCCTAACTGCTCGGCCACAAAAGGATCATTCAGTTGGCAAGGTCGAATTTACTGCTGATAAACAGTACTGAAATAACATTTACTGGCCTGAATGTCTGAGAAAAAATTTAACAACATTCAATAAAGTAAATGTTATTTAATACTGTTTATTATAAAAAGCATTTACTAAAATACTTGTATCTATAAAAAAAAAAAAAAATGTTAAACATAAAAATGTCTTTAAATAATTGTCGGACTTTGTCCATTTCATAATGTGACGCCATTTGTTTACATATGATACACCATGAGCAGTTATGAATGTACGTGAGAGATTCATGGAAGATTGAAGTTTATAAGCAGTAAATTCGACCTTAATGACGAACAATCCTTTGTAGCCAATAAGATTCATTACGTCAAGCTAAATGATGTTTGCGTATAGGATGCAGGTTTGAATCCTGTCGAAATAATGAATATTTTCTATATTTAAAATTTCTCAACATTCAGGCTGGTAAATGTTATTTAATACTGTTTATTATAAACATTTACTAAAATACTTTGTATTTATAAAAAAAAATGTTAAACATAAAAATGTCTTTAAATAATTGTCAGACTTTTGTCCATTTCATAATATATATATATATATATATATATATATATATATATATATATAATATTAGTGGAAAATATACATACATATGAAAATATATCTAAAAATTCCCCATACATGTATATTTTCAGAAAAAATTTTTGAGAGAGGAAATATAATATATATATATATTAGTCCAAGAGGAAATATAATATATATATATATATATTAGTCCCCAAGCTTGAGACAATCGGATATCTAGCCACACTGATGAGCTGTGATACAGTGAAACAGTCTGTCTGTGGGTAACAACATATATATATATTATAATAAATATACATATATATATTATATATATTTGTGAAACTGAGCTGTCAGCAGGTGGTCAACTCCCAGTAATATTTCTCCTACCGGCATTTGTGGGATGACTTAGTCACTGCCACCAGCCTGTGTCCCAGTTGATTGGTGGTCATCGCTACTCGTCAGAATCCTTTGGTTAGAGTACCAAGTGGGATGGTTGGTCGATGCTAACGGCTTCATACCAGCTGGTATCAAACCGGTTGCAGCTGGTATGATACCAGCTCCATCATTCTCAGCTCACTTCCAACGTCTGGTTACCGAAGTAACTACTTCGATCTCAAGTCTAACCTACCCACTTTGTGATTTTGATCTTAGGTAGATGAAATCAATCAGACATCTGGCCATAGTGTAAGATGAGTCTAACTGGAGGTGATATCACACAAGCATAAAGAAAGAAGCAAATAAAAACCCAAGAGGTTCAAATATGTTAAAAGTAACAAATTAACTTTTATCCATCTGTTATATACAGAAGTGTGTGTTTTTCTCCCAACCCGTTTTCTATGGAGTGTGACACTTTTACGTTTTTTAGGAAAGTTCTGGTCTTCTAAGTCAACTGGTTTAGTTTTTAAGTGCTGGCTTAGCTTCGTTCATCAGTATAACTTGCTATTGTTAGGATAGGCAAAGTCGGAGGTTGTGGAATCTCTCGGTCAGCTTCTGCGAGGCAACACTATGGTCCCTGCTACTCAAACTGCAACTGCAAAATCCCAACTCCAACCAACTGACTCCAACTGCCAAACTGCCCGAGGGTATTCGTTTATATGGACACTGACCAAAAACCAGTGCGGGGTTAGATGCAGTCTGGGGTTTTCGGTAATTTCCAATTTTCTGACAAACCAGGAAAATTGATTACTTCCCATTTTGGAAAATTAATCACTTTCCATTTTGGGGGGATCCCTTCATCCATGAGGAGAGGTTGTAGGAGAGCTATCCTCCTAAACTCCCCCTTTCCCACATTGATACCTTATACCAAATCCCTTCAGTGGGTGTTAATAACTTCCCCGTCTTTCTCATCAAATTACCTCCGCCTATCACCATTGCTACCACTCGACCAATAGTGTCCTGGCCGTGCAGGCGTGGCTAGGCTAGCATCATTAAAATTATAACCTAGAATATTTTGTTTACAAAATTCTCTTTCCCACTGGCCAAAATTCTTATGAATACCATATGGCCACTTAAAATCTCTCAGATCTTTTGGTCACTTTGCGTCTTCTTAACCAGCACATTGTACAAACACCATCAATCAATTGTCAAAGTCTGACATCTGGTCCCTTCATGAAGTTGGCTTCTGAGAACAAAAAACGTAAATTGATTATAAATCTCTTTATCTCCAAATCAGCAATCCTCCTGAGATATTTTCTCATGCCAAAATTCTATAATCAACATATGGCCACTTAATGTGTCGGTACTTAAGATAACATCTTTGGAAAAATAAACAAGGGTAATTCTCTCTACCCCGTATCAACAAATATTTCAGAATATTTTCTCATGCCAAAACTTTTTATAATTATCATATGGCCTTGCCTTGCCACATAAGATATATATATATATATATATATATATATATATATATATATATATATATAAGTATATTTTAATTTCAAGACATGGTCAATATATTATGGCCATGTTCATAGTTTATATTATTGAGAGTTGTCTTTTAGATTGATGATTTTATATGCAGATGTGAGTTATCTGTTACACTAACAAAAGTTTCATCATATTTTCAGATTCACTCTCTGTCTTACTATGATTAACAAATAAAAAACTAGAAGACCCCCTAATCATTAAACTCCTGAGTAGATTGGACTCCATAATCAACTCTAAAGAGATTCTCATATGCTGGATTCTAAGCCACATTGGAGTGAGGGGAAATGAAAGAGCTGACACTACAGCCAAATCAGCATCTGACCCCTAACAAATTCAAGATTCCATAAACTGACTTGAAACCAAAAATTAATAGATTCCTTCTTACAAAATGACAACAATGCTGGAATGACAACATCCACAATAAACTTTTCCTAATCAACCCCACTTTGGGATAATGGAAACCAGCTTTTAGAAAGTCCAGAAAGGTCACACAAGACTCATGCACTCTTTTATACTCAAAAGGGGCCAACAACCACAGTGTGTAGCATGTCAAATACCCTGTACTGTTAAACACTTCCTCATAAAATATAAACCTTTTGCTCCCATCAGAAAACACTTTTACAATACACTACAGTGTATTTGCTTTTATTTTTCAGTCTTTCTCCAGGTTACTCTTACTACCAAAACGTTAAAATTTGCCGTCATCTGTCCACAATATATTTTGTTAAGTTATGAATATTTTGTATGAAAGATATTATATTTTGTTTTCACCATTAACCACTCAGTAGACTTCTCAGTTAAATTAAATGATAATACAGGTTCAAAACCTCAACTCAGCACAGAATAATGTGGTAAACAAAATATATGTAGCTGTCTATGTTTGAATAAAAAAAAAGGTTTTCCCATTATGTTAGTATTTTCACAATTTTTAAATTTATTTTTTAATTTTGAAGTGATTTGCACAAAATGGGAAAATCAAAGTAGCTAAGCATTGAGGTGAGGGTACAAACTGAAATTTTATTCAAAGAAGTCTACTTTTAAAGACAAATAAGCAAGAAGTTGAAGATTTCTAGACATAGGATGCAATATTTGTTACAAAGGCGATTAGAATCTGGTGCAAATGTTGACAGAAAAAGAGTTGGAGCATGAAAAGTGACAGTTGTTGCTGAAGATAAAAAACACTTGATTATTGAGAGCAAAAGAAATAGAAAGAAAACTGCTCCAGAGTTGACAGCTGAACTTAATTCCTCTCAGAAGCAACTAGTGTTGCTCTCAACTGTAAAAAAAAAAATCAACTTAGATGAGCAGGGCTTAAGTGAATGCATAACCATCAAGACAACCCGTTACAGAAGGTGAATAAGCAGAAAAAATTAAAAGAAGCAGAAATAGACATTGAAAGAGTGGCAAAATATATTGTAGATAGAGGAGGCCAAATTTGAAATTTTTGGTAGTAAGATGAGAGTATACTCATATGTAAGAAGAAGGCCAGGAGAAAGACCGAATGATGTGTGATTCCAACAGTTAAGCATGGAGGTGGGTCTGTTATGGTGTCGGAATGTTTTGAGGAGAGAGTAATAGAGATTTGATTCAGATCAAGGGAATCATGAAAAAAGAACAGTGCTATATCAACTAGTTTACACATAATTAGAAAAAAACATCACCTTTCAACAAGATAATGATTCAAAACACTCTTCTAAATTATACCAAAATTACCTCAAGTCTAAGAAAATATACAAAGAGTAAGAGTGAACTTGAAGAATGCTTGGGAAATTATGATTATTTTTCTCAAAAATTGTTGGAAAAAATGTCAAAAAATTGAAAAGAAGTAATTAAGGCAGGTAATGATTTTATTGAAGAAAACAAGATATGATGCTGTTGTATGATAATTTTTTTTAGTTAAGTGCTTATATTTTGTCAGAATAAAACCAATACATAGTTACTGAAATTTTATTTTACTTTAAAAAAATACAAAAATATCTCATTTTAAAGTGTTTTTTTAAAGAAATGCCAGTAAGCAACAAACTTTTTGCCTGTAGTGTATTATGCCATCTAATATTGTCAATCTATAACGAAAGTGATTCCCGTGCTTTTATTCTATCACCATGTATAGAGATACGTTATTAAAAAAATGTATGACAAATTTTCTTTTATATTTGTAGACGATGATATGTTTTCACAAATGTTCATTAGAGCTGCCAAAGAGACCATGAGCCAGATTTTTGATATAGGAACAACTGACATAGAAAAATTGTTATCTGTGAAATCTACTCTCGTAAGTAGTTCAAACTTTCCTTCGTTGTGTGCATTTAAATGAAGAAGTAAACTGAAAATCATGTTTATATTTCTTACTGTATGAAAACAAAAAATTTAATGAAGAAAAGTCATGAGAAATATTGAAAAAAATCATGATATTAATGAAAACTCATCTACAACATCATTACTGATTTCACCTGAATGACTCTAGATGATGATGTAATTTACCACCATACTACACTAATGGTGATTGTTATAGAATGCAAAGACCTGGGCAAGAATGGTCAGTGATTGTCTGGAATGCCTCATGCACATGGTATTCTGACAGTGATTGATTGTCTTTGTCTGGGTTTTAGTTATAAGTACAAAATGGCACAAATTCAACAGTCACAAGAATTTTGAAGTGTCAATATGCCTCTCACACCCAAGTTAGTGACCAGCTAAGACCACCTGTGACATCATTCCCTCTATTGCCTCTTAGATTCAAAGCTGCCACCACTCTCTCCTAATAAAACGAATGAGAAAAAGAAATGGTCTTTTTCATTGTACCACTTTATGTAGTAGCATGGGGACCCAAAAAAACACAGACCACAACATGATGATTATAATAAAGAAAATATCATCATTATTATTAAAATTATTGACCTTCTTTTATGATATAGTGATATCAGTTGTCAGTTGATATCATGTTAAGGAGACATCTGCAGGATGTTACAGAAATCATTTTGACAATTATTATCTTAACAAAGATCAACTGAGTGAAGTATAGCACCAATAGTAAGCCCTCTACCATTGCAGTTCAGATCAAACACCAGGTACAGCTTTTTTCAGTTGAACACTTGTGGCTTAATACAAGGAAAATGATTATTTGGTTAGATAATTACCTAAGAAAAAATCATGAGACAAAATTGTAGCAGTCAGCAAATTTTATTCAGTTGCAACCTTCTTGTAAGGGCTGGCTGTAGGCAGGCGAGGAAAAATGAGGCAAGTTAAGGGGGCAAAGGATCTAACTTTCTTTAATATGCTTTCCTTTCATGTGGCTGGCGAGTGGTTTAGGTGGCTGGGGACCTCTTTATAGCAGACCAAACTTCTTTGTCCTGTCAGCTTTCATCCAAAAGAGTCATTCCATTCCATTTAACCTTCTTTGTCTGGGTTGACTGACCTGGTTCTTGTGAGGTCCACTCTACTCAGTTGACATTTGTGAAGACAATAATTGCTAAAATGATTCTGTAAAATCCTGCAGATGTTAACAACTGATATTGCTACATCCACTCACTTCTTAAAGAAAAATATTGTTTTTCCATCTTGGCCATCAGTTGTTACAGCAATATTTATGGTTTATAACATACATAAAGAACAATTTCAACAATATGGGAAATTAAAGAAATATAAGTTCAGTGGATGTGAAAAGAAACTATACACAAAAGTAAAAAAATAATTTTGCATCCATTTGATGATATGATAAAGATTGATGGGGTAATAATTCTGCCAAAGAATTACATATTTTCCTTGTATTAAGCCACAAATGCATCCTGCAAATGAACTTGGTGTCTGGTCTGAGCTGCAATACTACAATGAGCCATGTTGCTTAAGGATGTAGGCAATCATGGCTCTCCACAGTTTCTTAATAAATTTTATGTTTTTCATATCTCTCTTAAACCTTGTTCTGCCATCCATTTACTCAAGCTCACTTCAAAAGTTATGCATTGTTTTCCTCTCTTCCTCTTGCCTTCTATCGATCATGTGCATATCAATTTTTCCAAGCCCTCTTGTCTGCTCTAGAAATTTCAACTGTCTCACAATTAAAAGTTACAACTGCTGATCAGTCATATCACGAAAAAGTTAAGTCAGTTAAATCATTAAGGCCATGAAAGAAAGAAAAGAAACTGTAAACCATATCCAAAACAGGAAACAAGGGATAAACTGCCAGTCCTGCTCAATAAACATGGAAGAAATACTGGTTGGGTGATAGTCAAACCCAAAAGTAAAGATGTATTTATAATAATTACCAAACTGAAATAACAATTGGATATAAAAAAAGGATTCAAAGCATCTAGACCAGTGGTTCTCAACCTTTTTCTATTCATGAATTCCTTTTAATTGATAATTTTTTATGACCCTCTTCTAGCCATTTACATTAACAATAGTTCATTTTTCAATTTCCAGAACAAATAAACAGTTATATTTCTCCATATAAACTTCAAAACTGATTGTTTTAAAAATCAAGTCAGTTAAATGAAACAAACTTTTCTGTCAAATAAATTTTACATAAATGCAAACTAGTAACATAAAAGACACTTGGAAATTATTTCATAATACTTAATGCTTAAGGAGGAAAATATTATCATTTATTTAATTATTAATGTGATCCTTAAGCCTGAGTTCATTTTGCAAATAAAGCTCAAAAATAGATTTCAATTACATAATTTAAATTTATTAGAACTAAAATATACAAGGCAACAGGCTTGTAGCACTGAAGTCACTTTCACTGAACTTATGGCCACTTCAAATCCCAAAATTTACAGGGCACCTTTGTGACCATGTGGCCCACCAGTTAAGAACCTATCATCTGAACCATGGCAATGCTGAAGTCTATAAAAATAGAGTCATAATAATCACATTAATAATGAAAGATAACAACAGCAATAATAATAATGTTATAAAGTTCTTCTTATGCTTTATTATGCATCAAATGATATCACAAATATAATATAGAATCTTATACTTAATTGCCTTAAAGTTAATGATAATATTAGCCATTTCATTATCAGGAAACATTCAACATTCATTGTCAGTGCTACTTTCTGTTGAAATCTATATAATATTTCTCTTAAAACAATTTTTCAGAAAAATAGGTTTCTCATGTCCAGTAGCTGTTATTGCTCTTTCCAGCACTGATGGGGGCTTCCTTCTTAACCTTTTGTTTGAAGTAGTGTGGAATGTCAATATCTTGATTATCTCACTATTTTCTTTTTGAGTTACAGGTTTAGTTGTTGATGTTGAAAGTTCTCAAGTAATGCTGCTTCTGTTATTTGGGACTTGTCCACAAGGTTAAAGAAAAGGATGGTCCTTGCCAAGACTTAAAAGTTTCATTTGCTCACAGTTTTTTTTAACCATTGTTCTAAGAATGCATTTGTATACAGCTAACAGTTTAGATATTTCAGAAAGTTTGGTGCCATATATGACATAACTTTTCTAAAAAATGAACACAACTTTGATTAATATATATAGGATCATATATTTTATTAATGTTTTTCATTTCATATTCATTAAAAAGAGAAACATGTTACTTAATTCAATCAAAATGCATAAGGGATTTGTCATTCATTGACAGATTTAATATCAAAAAGGCTAAAATGGCATATTCATCTGGGAAACAAAGATATTCTTAGATGGCAGCTGACAAATCTTATCTTAAAATATTTTAGAGTACAAACTTCACCTATTTTAAGTACAATGTATATGTCATGTTTTACTGTTGTTTTGCATTGTTACAGTTACTAATTAAGGTTAATGTATTTTGGCACCTCTTTTCATTTCCATTTAATACCTCATATTTATATGTTTGGGAGATCCTTGAGGTAGGGAGCCATTATAAAATAACAATCCAACAGAAGCATTAGAAATATGTAATTTTCTATAAATCAACTTTTGTTTTTTCATTATTTTATGAGTTCTCATCAAGTTTCCACTTAAAAGGAATCTGTATATATGTTTATGTAAACTATATTTTCTCATTAACATTGTATTGAATATAGCTTATTTCAGAAGAATTAATTCCAATGTAACATCTGCTTTGCCAGAAATGGACAGAATTACACTTGAGCATTCTTAAAAATGATGAGAAACTGACAAAAGAACTGTTAGAAAAAGGTGCCGATATCAATGAAACTGATGAATATGGTAATACTGCCCTGCACATTGCAGTAATAAAGTAAGTATTATCAACACTCAATAAACTGTATTATAATATTTCTTGATGGCAATTGGTTTTCAATTGAAAAAAAAATCTTTGCTCTATATGAATATTACTGTGAAGTTTCTTTTTTTATGCTTATCTCTTATACTTTAATCCATTGACATTAGGTCAGAACAAAAGTTCACAATGTTAGTCTTGTTTACACATTACAGAGGAAACATAACACATTATCTATCCCTACTATTTATTATTTGGACACAATGTTACTAGTGTGCATTTATATAGATACCTTAAAAAGGGTAGGTAAGTTTTATTTTTTAGAAAATATTTTTTTATAATTTAAAATATTAAAGTCTTGGTATAATATTATCACTGATGACAGTATGATTATCCTATGTCACTGTGTGGGATTTATTCCTAATTTATTCATTTGAAAATGAAAATATTTCTTCTTTAGAGAAAAAATTATTAAAACTGTTTCCTGTTTCAAAAGAAAAATATGTTTACATGTATGATCTTCCTTAGTGAAAATCACCAATGGTTTAAAATTCTGACAGTGTTACTTTATCCAAAAGTTTACAAAATTCAAGAAACATTGTAATTAATTATTGTTTATGTATGTGGTTATGTATGAGAGTGTGTGTGAGTGAACAAGTGAGAACAAAACAAAATAAAATTATAAGAAATGTTATTTGCTTATGAAATTAAGTGTGTAATTCAGAAAGGCCAAATGGGCCACAGTTTGTTCATGAGTGTTACACTGCATAAATCAAGGGACACAACTGTGTACAAATAATAAATCAACATTAAAACATAACATTTTTTGAGTGAATTTCAAAGACAGTATTATATAGTTCTATATAGATTTATTCAACCACATATGTGCCGTTTTGTTCTGCTATTTTTCACCATCTTTGAGACAGTTTCATGATTACATCCTCCCAGAACCTGGCAATTTTCTGGGTCGTGAACTTATCTAAGTGGTTTTCACGAGTGTCCAAAGAATTGAAATTCTTTCCCTAAGAGAATTTTATAGATCTCAAAATAAGGGGTAATACAAAGGTGAGGTGAGTATGGCAGGTATATAGATCAATGAAACATGAATATGGCAATATTGCCCTGCACATTGCAGTAATAAAGTATAACCTTTGAATAAACAAAAAGGATCAAGAAATTGCATTAAAGTATTTCATGTTGATTATTTTCCAATTGAAAATTATTTGCCTCTTTTAATCATCTGAGAGAAACATTTTTGGCTTCCATCAGCATGACTTATACTAACCATCAGGAGAGTGACTCATTGTGCCTTCTCAGGCTAATGTTTTCTTCTGACATAAAGAAGAAAATTATATTGAATCAACTGCTAGGTCTACTGCAAGGAAAATTAGTTCACTGTATCATGATAGACAATTTTTCTCACCAGAATCCATCTTTAAAATTTCTAAGTCTACAATTCTTAGATGCATTGAATATTGCTGCAACATCTGGTCTAGTGCTTCTGTTATGCATTTAGAGAGTCTACATAAAATACAAAGAAGAATCTGCAATGTTATTAGTCCTAAATTGTTTTTGTGATGTATGGTGGCCATTAATAATTAAGTATAAGTCAAGACTTCAATGTCAATGATAAAACAGTATTTAATTACAACTGCAAATAAATACTTAACAAGAACAAAGAAGTAAAAGTCAACCAAAGATAATTAAACTTTTCAGTGAATACCTTGTTAGTAGTACGACTCAGCTTAATATTCAGTAAATTATAAATCAAAACCCAAATCATCAATACACAATAATTCACATTAATTCAACTAGATAGTTCCACTCAATAGTCCCTTCAGTCAGTAGCCTGACTCTGCTATTTATACACCTGGCAGAAAACATATATTCATAAGTACAAAGTGTCATGCTCAAATCTCAGTGTTAGTAGTTATTTATTTTCTTCCTATATGACACCTTACTTTTATTGAGATGACATCTCTGGAATCTATATCTCTTCAGTTTTGGGTTCAGTATTCAAATGTTCTGTTGCTGTTCTTTTTCTTTTACTGTACCTCCTTGGTTCAGTAATTTCTGGTGGTGTGGATATGTCAAACATGTCAGACAATATTTCCGTAGGTGTCTCTTTTTGTGGAATTACTAAATCAGTGAATCTTTTTTAACTGATTAAGGTGTCGCTTAAGTTCCTACCTTTGTCGCTGTACCATGTATATCATTTTCCAATCCATTTGGAACATGTGACTTGCCCTGCAGAAGCGATGTTGAAGGATGGTAGCCTCTATGCTAGGGAGAAATGTCTGGGAGAGGACCTCGTTGATGATATAGTCCTCCCAACTGATGGGAAGGATTCTTTCAAGCTTCATTTGATGTTTGATGTCTCAATGATACAAAAGTCCTCACAGGTATACAGAAGAGTGGAACCATGACACAGAAGACCATGATTTGGTTTTTATGAGATCATGATTGCTGAAGACCCAATGTGAGAGTGTAACAGTATGAGCCACTTTGATCCTGTCAATTTTTTTCTCACAGGTGACATTAATTGAGATGATGCTGCCAAGGTAGGAAATTTTATCAACAACTTCTATTGGCAGTCCCCTGATGTTGATGCTGACCTCGTTATACAGGTTTGCCAATCTCTGGAAGTTAATGACAGTTTTGTCCACTGTTGTATTGTCATCAACATACTGAAATTCTCACATACAGGTAGTGGTACCCTTCGTGTGAGAACAAAGTCAGGCGAGGTTGAAGAGTCTGCCATCAAATCTGTATCAGATGTCAATGCCAGTGCTGTCAGGAGGATCTTGTTGACCATGGCAGTGAGATACAGGGAGAAGAGTGTCAGAGCTAATACATAGCACTTTTTAAGGACGCCGAAACGGGTCCGAGAGGACATCTCAACAGTTCACCTGGCACTCCATTCTATACAGATCAGAAACAAAGTGACCAGACAGCTAAAGTGGGCATGAGTGACCCACATTACTGAGGATTTTGTCAAAGGCCTTCTGCAAATCCCAGAAGATGAACATCAGTGAGTTTTGCTGCTCATGACTTCTTGTAGAACTGTCACACAGAAAAGACCATGTCAAGTTCCTCTTGAATGCTAGAAACCACACTGAGATTCTGGAAGGATCTCTTCTGCCACATGGAGGAGTCAATTCAGCAGTATTTATACAAAGATCTTGCCAGCATTGCTTAGGAGGGAGATGTCACAATAGTTTCTCATTTTTTGATGACTGTCACAATGTTGGCATTTTTAAAGACCTTAGGGACTTTTTTATCTTCCAAGATTTTATATACCAGAAGCATTAGTCTGGTAGTCTGTTTTTCATTTCTAGTCTACCATGGGAGAAAAACTCCAGAGGTACAATATCAGGTCCAGCAGCTTTTCCAGGTTTCATGAAGCAATGTGTTTCTTTCAATTCACAGAAGGCTGTGACATCCAGAAGTGACATCCAATGCTGGGCAAGGAATTAGATGTTTCACACAGTGGCATGGTCATTGAGAACACTCTGAAAGTAGTTCTTCCAGTGGCCCAGGATTGATTCAGGATCAGTAAGTAGTGGTAGCTCCATCTGAGTGAGTCCTTAAGACCTTCCATCATTGATTTGATGAGGCAAAAGATTTCCATTATGAATGCATAAAAGCAACGCATATTAACTGCCAAAAACAATTCTGTGCAATCCATAACACATGGTGGCAGGCAAAGGCAGCAGAAATCTAACAATAATCAGACCAATTCATATTTCCTTCTTTGATAAGTCTGATCTCACCCAAAGCAGCCATGTCAATGTCAAAATGGGTCATCTCATGACACACAAGTGCTGTTTGGGCATTCTGTGTCCTTGATGTCCATCAAAGTAAGTACGTTTCATATTGTGATAGTCAAGAGGTTGAAAGCAACATAAGTTTTGTAAGTTTGAGATATTATTTCCAATCACAAGAATGGGTCACCTGCTGACTCCAGTTTGCCAGCCAGACATACACATAATGACTGATGGTTACCCCACCTTTTCTAAGGGCTTCCTCACTTGGGGTAGGCTCCAGAAATCCTGAATAGATCAGCTCAGTCATGAGTCTAGCTGCCGCATCATCATGTCATTGCCGGTCATGAGAGATATGATCATCACAAACCCACTACAAACATGTGGGCATGGATTAATAGTCTACAGCTAACTAATCTTGCCCACATCACCCATGGGACTTGCTGAAAGGTGGTAGAAAGCAAAGTCAGTTTGACAAAGCCATTTGTGTGAATTTAATTTTGGTGGACAACTCTGCACAATGAAGAAGCCAACACACTTGGCCTGAAGTGACTACCTCATGGTTCAATGAGGATTGAGACATATGAGATCTGGCAAACCTGGTTGCATCAGGCTGTTGGATGCTAGGCCTGTTAATGTCCGCCTTGGTTATGCCAAATCCAGCTGGTGCTGCCCTCATCTGCCTATTAAGTCATTGAGATCATGTAGATCATTGCCTATCCTGCTGTTGGGAATTTCATGTTCAGTCTGGTCTCTCCTCCTCAACTTATTGCCATGAGTGGCCCTATAGTAATTTGCTCTTGGGATCACTGAGACACATAAGCCCTCTACCATGAAAAGGAACAACTATATATATATTTTAAGTTAGATGTCAGAGCACCTCCACTACAATGTACTATATATACACATCTTTTCAAAAAAAAAAATTAAGTAGTATACTATATATAACAGATTATCTTTTGTGACTATGCTTACAATATTGTATATATGATTCAACTAGACTTAAAAAGAACAAAATATTGCATATATGATTAAACTAGTCTTTAAAAGTAAGAAATATTGTATATATCATTAAAATAGATGTAAAAAGTAAAAATATTAAATATATAGGCTTTAAAAATACGGGAAGACTCAGTATGCAGATATAGTTTTTGTTTTGTCATTTTTCAAACCATTTATTTCTTTTAGAAATATCCCTAAAATGGTACGACTTCTGATAGAAAAGGGTGCAAAAGCAGACATATTGAATAAAAAGAACCATGCACCAATTCACATAGCTGTTATGGAGGGTTCAAAGCAATGTGTAAAAGAATTACTGGACAGCAGCATCAACATAAAGGTTTGTATTAAAAGACAATAATCATTTTTATTACAAAAGGTACTATACACATTTCTTATTGGTTCAGTAATGGCATTCTTTTGTATTTATAAGTACCATTATCTCTTAATTTCTCTAAAAATATTCTGTTGCAAATTTATGGTTTGGTTTATCTTGTTTTATGGCATACCATTCTCAATGCGTTACTTAATGGCAACAACATATTTATTGCTGGTAATATTTTTTGTTCAAAAATGTATTGCTGGCAATTTTTTTTTGTCAAAAACGTATTACTTGTAATATATTTTTGTTCAAAAATGTATTTCTGGTAAGAATTATTTCCAAAAATGTATTGCTGGTATTAAAACCAACTTGTACACTTTCATAGTGATTTAACCACAGCTGGGACATACCTGGGATACTAACAGTTGCTACCACCCCAGGTCAGGGTGGACCTGGGAAGATCAGCAATTAAGAGGTGGTTCCACACTCCTCAAAGCTTCCTAATCAGAGGCCTTGCTGTTGGAAGTAGTTTATTCTCTTACCCAGGACACGGATGAGATTTATTGTCATATCCAGGATGCTGCAAATTTATTACCTCATTATAACACTAAAGGTTTTTATTACAGTCTTCTTATAAAAATTCTTAATTTTGATTCTAGTATCATTGACAATTGCAGGCCTGCAGGGATATTCTTTGATTTCCAGATCAGAACTTCCCCCACTGAATGTAGAAAACTAATCTTGTGTAACTTGTTGCATGTGACCATAATACTTGCCTTTACTCAATTTTTGGTATTATAAGGAGTTTTGATAGTCTCTGACACAACTTCATCCCACACATAATAATCAAGAAGACTGCAGTCTGGGGATATATGTCGCAAAATATAAGGGGTGAAGTGGTTACAGAAACTTTCTGACACCCAGAATTTGTGTGGCATTGTATAGAGTCCTGTTGTCAGATATATGGTTTTACAGCAACCACCCTCATCACTCAGGGAGCACTACCTCATCAAAACAAATGCATGTATATATATATATGTGTTTATGCACATACACACACACACACACATATATATATATATATATATATATATATATATATATATATATATATATATATACAGTGGGGGGAAATAAATATTCGTACACTTGAAAAAATTGTAATTTTATAAATGTAAAAGCCTTAAATAAAACAAATCTCAGCACATTTTATGTATAAAGACACATAATATTAAAAAATAATAATAAACTTAATTAATTCTTATTGTAACAGAAATTAATGCATTTTTTAAATTCTAACTGGTGAAAAAAGTATTTGTACAAATCGAATAAAATAATCAATTAATTATGAAAAAAGTATATTCTAGAATGTTCCAGCAATGTTATCAGTAATTATAGTTAACGCTATTAGCCATTATCAGAACATTCTGCAATTTCTAGTCTTACAAGAAGGTTCTAATAATGCCTAAAAGTAAAGAATTGACTATTTCACAAAAACAACACATTTTGTCTCTTTAGAAAAATTGGAACAGTTACAGAACGATTTCAAAAAACCTGAATATTCCTTTTACTACAATTGCTTTGTTCATTGCAAGGTTTAAAACTCGTAACAGCATCAAAAACAAAAGACGAACAGGAACATTTCTCTAAGATCAACAAGGATATTAGGACGCCAGATCCAACAAAATCCACAAAATCGACTCCTCTTGAAATTACACAGAGATGCTAGGCTAAAATTCATTAGAGAGCATAAGGATAAAGAATATTCGTTTTGGGAAAAAGTACTATGGACAGATGAAACTAAAATATATATATGCATATATATATATATATATATATGTGTGTGTGTATATATATGTGTGTGTATATATATATATATATATGCATATATATATACCTATATCTATATGTATATATATATATAAAGTATGTATTTAGGCAGCATTTTTACATTCATACATGTTTCATTAAATAATATAGACAAATGTTGTCTATTTATTTTATGTAAATTCTTTTCATAATGTTTGATAAGCTTAATAACATTATCATTCAATGAAGAAAGAAAATCACAATGTTGATACATATTTTTTAATCCAATCTAAGCTTTCGGCTTACATATGCCATTATCAAAGATGACAATTAGAGTACAATATATTAAGCAATACACGGACAAGACAGTGATGATAGTCTGTTTCTGTTTCCATGGAAGATTTCCAAGCAATGATAAACTCATACATATAAGATGCTGGAAGCAAAAACCACACTGCAGCTCATGACATCACACATGACCACATGAAAGTTAATTCGAGGAGTATTAAGTATGGGAAGCTTATAGACATTTAAGAATATTTGTGGAGATTTTATAGTTTATTTTGTTCAGGTTAGGTTTCAACTGTTTTATGTATATAAAGCTATTGGAGTAGAAGCGACGGCTACATTTAGTAGTTTCGACAGTGAAAGGGTGAGAGTGGGATGCCAGCCTTGTAGGGCGCTTGAACTCATGAAGTCTGGGAACCAGCGAATGCAGCTCCTCGGAGCAATTGCCATGAAAGTATTTGTAGAGAGTAGCGACAGCACATCTGTGAGAGAGCAACTGTAGACGAGATGCCAGAACAGGGCCAATTATATTGCATATCTGCCTCTGGAGCCTATCAAGAACCCCGAGGCAAACAGAAGGGGCACCAGACCATATATGGCAGCAATACTCCATGCAAGGGCAAATTGTTGATTTGTAGATCTGGAGGATCGATTCCGGGGAGAAAAAATTTCTGGCACGGCACAGGGAGCTGACTTTCCTTGTGGTGGATGAAGTAATTGACTCAATGTATTTGTTCCATCTCAGGTCAGCAGTCAACGTGAGATGGAGCAGCCGCAGAGAGTTGCTCTCGGGAAGTTGAGCGTCAGACATTCTAATGGAGGGCAGGGAATGTCTCTGTGGTGATTAATAGAGAGCAGTTTTGTTTTTGAGGCATTAAAATTAACCAGCCAATTCCTGCCCCAGTTCACAACCGATTGGAGGTCCTTTTCGAGACTAACGGCCAGGTTAGTTTTGTCAGCGACACTAGATTTGTTTTTGAGGCAGGAGTAAATAGTAGTGTCGTCCGCATAGATGCCTACTTGGGAATTTATGACATCAGGAAGATCGTTAATGAAGATAAGGAACAGATATAGGGCCTAGGATGGAGCCTTGGGGAACACCTGCGTTCGTGGGATAGGAGCTGGAGGAGAATCCGTTGGGAACGACCTTCAATTCACGGTTTGACAGGAATGATTGTATTGTCAAACAATCGACCTGAATTCCATAACCCTGAAGCGAAGAAGGCCGGCATGCCAAACCCTATCAAACGCTTTGGAGATATCTAGAGCCACGGCACGGCTTCCCCGTTATTTTGAAGTGCTTGGTAAACAAATTCAGTTATGGCCGTGAGAACATCAGCTGTAGAATGGGCAAAGCGGAAACCATATTGCTTGTCTGAGAGCAGATTATGGGATGTAAGGTGCTTAACCACTTCGGCGTTGATTAAAGCTTCAAAGACTTTGCCGAAGAGGGGTAGGAGACTGATAGGACGGTAATTAGAAGGGTCAGAATGGTCCCAGAGTTCTTAAAGACAGGAAAAATGGATGAGGACTTCCAACAGGCTGGAAAACAAGATTCATTGAGGCAGTAGTTATATAATTTGGAGGGGCAGGGGCCCAGTTCAGGTGCACATTTCTTCAGGACAATGGCTGGTATCCCATCTCCACCACTAGCCTTGTGGGGGTCTAATTTAGAGATGATGCCCAATACCGATGACGGGGTTATGTGCAACTCGCTCAAAAGGAGCCTCAGTTCTAAGTTCTAAAAGGTGTGGGTACACCGGAAGAGTCGAGCGTTGAATTGAATGAAAATTTCCGAGCAAAGCATTCAGCCTTGTCGGCAGAAGAAACTGGTCAAACTGGTTGAACAAAGGAGGTATAGAGGGTTTGCTATTGTTAAGTACGCTCTTGCAGAGACGCCAATAATCTTTTGGAGCCAAATTTGCGAGATGCAATACGTTCTTTCATTCGAGCAGCAAATAGTGACTTTGCTTCATTGAGGACACACTTACACTCGTTACGGGCTGAGACAAAAGAGATTCTATTGCAATCAGACATGTCGCTACGATATAGGTGGAAAAAGTGATTCCTATGGGCAATGGCAGCTGAGCAAGCAGCGGAGAACCAAAGGGAGGAGCGCGATTTAACCTTATATTTCGTTGAATGGATGAAAGCCTCGATTCCAGTTTTTACCCAGGAAGAGACCTCAGAAGCACATTTAGAACAGGGAGCGAAAGACAACGTCCCAGGGGACATCGCGAAGGAAATCACGGAACGAGTTCCAGCTCATTGATAGCAGAACGATGTTCTAGTGATAGTGGTTTGATGGCGGTTGACCGGAAGGAGATGTTGATAGACAATAAACAGCCTTGATCAGATTTGCCAAGAAGGTTAGGAATAGTGGCGCTATCTTCAAACTCGGGATGGAGATAAAACAAATGAATCCAAAAAAAAATTATTTATATCAAATTCCCTTGTTATAAATTTCTGTAAAACTTGAGAAAAATTTAAGACGATGCCTATTGAAAAATTATATTTATTTGTATGGGGAAAGGTTTTACAAAAAAGCACATTAAGCCATTTTGTAAAATAGGTGTATGCGGGGTCCACAAACACATTATTTTATGGAACCTTGTCAATGCTGTCAGAAATGCATTCAGTACACACAGTTAAGGATTTAAAAAGAAAAATTGCCAAACTGAGAAATAGCCGAAGACACATATACGATTGTTGGAATTCAAGTTTTCATTCTCTTCATTGGGATTCACCTTGATTAAAAACCAATTTTGCATATGGGTTTGTACTTTTCTAAGGAGTGGAAAGATAAATTATTACTAAAGCAGACACTGGCGATGATCAACGTCCTCTTATAAAATATTATCGTTCAGTTCACAACCATCGTTTTGCATTCTTATTCAGTAACCTTTTCTACGTTATAATGGAATAATGTTTAAATTGTTCAT